TGCGGTTGCCAACCCGCTCGCCAAGCGTGGCAACTATGGCAAATATCCCCCCATGAGTAACGACGCAAACAAACGGCCCCCAGTCCCCGGCGGACCCGCTATTCCTGGCTACGGTGGCGACCATGGTAACGGCGGGGCAGGAGGTGCTAAGAATCTCCGGTGGAGGTTCGGTTGCCACCTACGACGACTCGACCTGGCAACATATAACGCACGCACCCTGAGGACTGACGAGAATATACTGGAGTTGGAAGAAGAGGTAGACAAGTTGCGCTGGCATATTATTGGGTTATCCGAGATCCGAAGAGAGGGGGAGGACACGGTAATCCTCGAGTCCGGCAACTTGTTCTATCACCGGGAGGGCGACCATCTGTCCCAAGGAGGTGTCGGATTTATCGTCCACAAGTCTCGTCAACAACGTTGTAAAGATTGGGAGTGTGTCGACGAGGGTCGCGTACCTGATACTCAGAATCACCAAACGGTATTCGCTGAAGGCCATACATACGGTTTACGCACCAACTTTGGCACATCCCAAAGAGGAGGTGGAGGAAATGTATGAGGATATTTCTAGAGTCATGCATTCCTCCAAAACCCACTACACGGTGTTGATGCGAGACTTCAACGCAAAACTAGGCACAAGAGAAAGCGGTGAGCTGAAGTTAGGGAAATTCGGAGTAGGGCAACGGAACCGTAGGGGCCAGCAGCTGGCCGACTTCATGGAGAAAGAGGGACTGTTTATGATGAACTCTTTCTTCCAGAAGCGGCCCCACAGAAAGTGGACCTGGTCGAGCCCCGACTGGACTGGACCTGGACGAGATTGACTTCATTATGACGACCAGACGCCAACTGTTCAGTGATGTCTCAGTGATCGCAAGGGTGAAAACTGGCAGCGACCACCGAATGGTTAGAGGCACACTGAACCTAAACGTTAAGTTAGAGAGGTCTCGTCTAATGCAGTCAACGCTCCGTCCCCCTTGTGCTCTAATACAGAATCCCGAAACCTTTCAGCTCGAGTTACGTGACCACTTTCAGTGCCTAGAAGATTGCAATGCAGTGGACGATATTTTTTTTTTATTTATTAAACTTAGGACCACAAACAAGTTCACAATTATTAACTTATCTAATACAATTACTACACATATTTTATTATTGTGAACTCAGCAACGCTGGTCACTTACTTAAGTATAACATTTTTCCACAATAAATAACGCTTGTTACATAGTACTACTTGACATTGACAATATCTTGTTATTCTTAATCTAGAATTAAAATCTAAACACAGTATCGACTGACAAATATTGTAGGGTTATGGTAGGATATATGACACCACTGCTCATTAGTTTTTTTTAAATGGTCGTGTCATATATTCCATTATCTACTCAATGAGCACTTGTTTAAATTTCTAAGTGACAATCTTCTTATAATTACCTCGTCCAATGGCATTAATATGGATATCAGTAAAATTCTCATTGTACGAGTGCATCATACGTGATAAAGAGGACCTTCGTCCCGCGTTAGTTCGGCATAAATTAATACAAAAAGTTTATGAGAATGGGCCACGTGCTGATGTGCTCTGGTAGGTAGTCTATAATTTATATTCTCGGTTATATCCATACAGTCGTATCTTTTGTGACACAGGTCATAAAATAACATTGCCTCGAGAATTGTACGCCTTGATTTAAGAGTGGTAAGATTATATTTTGCCATGAGTTGATTGTACTGTATTTTTTTTCTCGCATATTTATAATGGAAAATAAAAAATAAAAATATAAATTTCTTTGCAACTTTCCGCTAAACATATAAAATGATGTGTCTTACCTGGATTGAAGCGCACCTCCCCGCCCTCCCTCAATTGCATACACTAACTCCGTCACCACTAGACCAAGCACCACTACTCTCAACACCACTATTCCAGGCAAGACACACCATCGACGATAATACGACACGTGTTTCGCCTCTACACGAGGCATCCTCAGGTAATATAGACTCTACGGTCCGTAGAGTCTATATTACCTGAGGATTGACAGCTGACCGCTACTTAGCGGTCAGCTGCCGTAGAGTCTATATTACCTGAGGATGCCTCGTGTAGAGGCGAAACACGTGTCGTATTATCGTCGATGGTGTGTCTTGCCTGGAATAGTGGTGTTGAGAGTAGTGGTGCTTGGTCTAGTGGTGACGGAGTTAGTGTATGCAATTGAGGGAGGGCGGAAGGTGCGCTTCAATCCAGGTAAGACACATCATTTTATATGTTTAGCGGAAAGTTGCAAAGAAATTTATATTTTTATTTTTTATTATAATGGATTTCCGCAAAGTAACGCCTGATTCTATCAATTATTTATAATGGATATATTTAAGACATTTCTTCTGCACAATATCTAGTTTATCAATATATTTTTTTATATAGAGGATTCCAAATAGTCACTGCATACTCTAAATGACATCTTATTAAGGATTTATAAAGATGTAAATAATCAATGGATTTTTAAACATATTACCAGATTGGATGACGAAACCATACATCTTATAAGCTTTGTTAATAATATTTTCAATGTGTATACTTAGATATAGTTTAGTGACTAAAGTTACTCCAAGATCCCTGATTGCTACTTCTTGAGCTAAGGGGGTACCACATAAATAATAGATGCAAGAGCTGGTTTTTTTTTCTTTTTTGTAAAAGTTATAGATTTACATTTGTTAAGAATGAGTTCTAACTTATTTCTATTACAGTACGATGTGAAACGGTTTATATCATCCTGGAATTCTAAATGGTCATTAGTGTTGTTGATAATTTTATACTATTATAACCTACTTGAACGGAAGCACGTATTAATGTCATTTATAAATATTATAAATAGAAAAGGACCAATAATAGATCCTTGTGGCACGCCCGAGGTAATCGGTACACATTCCGATTCATGACCCCTAATAACCACTTTTTTCATTCTGTTTGAAATATAAGATTTAAACCACCGCCATAGATTACCTCTTATTCCATTATAGGCAATTTTTTCTAGTAGCATTTTATGGTCGACCCGGTCAAATGCCTTGCGAAAATCCGTGTACACACAGTCAACTTGCTTACGTGCATCGAGAGCTTCAAATAGGAAGGTCGAGTAAATAATTAAATTAGTCACAGTAGATCGATTCTTAACAAAGCCATGCTGCTGTGGCAATATAATGTTACGTAAAAGCGGATAAACGGCGTTATATACTAATCGTTCAAAAATCTTCGCTAACGCAGGTAGTATGAAGATGGGTCTATAATTTTCAACTTCTTTCTTAGACCCTCCTTTGTGTACGGGCGCTATTCTAGCAGTTTTCCAGACTTTGGGAAAAATTCCACATTGCAAACATTTATTATGCAGGAGGCATACCGGTTTATCAATAACCTCAGCAGTTGATTTTAGAAACAGAGCATGAACATTGACCACCCCGGCACCCTTCGTTACATCTAACATCTTTAATTGGTTAGTGACTTCAAGTTTTGTGAATTTGATATCGTTTATAAGAATATCAGGTGTTTTAGTATCGCCAACAATGATATCTTGGATATCAAAGTCACCAGTGACCGTAGTTGGCTCAAAAACCGAATGAAAAAAGCTAGAGAATATTGAACAAACTTCGTTAGGACCTGTAGCCACCCTATCTTTAAAATTAACAGTACTCGGTATGTCAGAGATCTTTTTACGATTTTTCAAATAGGTCCAAAAGAAGTTACTGTTATCCCTAATACTAAATAAAAAAACTATTATATGTATCAAAATTTTGATTAGGTGGGATATAGACGGCTAAGAGAATATAAACATAGTTTGCAATGCATAACTCTAGTAATAAAAAATCAACAAGAGGCGGGAGGGGCTCAAAGTCATGCGTCAGCATTTCAAGACGAGCTACAGCACAGAGTGAACGGTGCACCGCTATCAGTATGCCTCCGCCGTCTTGCCTGCCGGTCGTTGCACGATGTCTGTCCTTTCTAAAAATATGATAACTATCGTCTACAAATTCATTGTCGCTGATATCCGCGTGTAACCAAGTTTCCGTTAATACGATTATGTCGTATGTATGAGAGATAATATTCATATAAAGAGTATGGAGTTTAGTACGTAATCCTCGACAATTTTGGTAATATACAGTTAACATATTAGAATTGAATTTTTTTAATTGTATTATAACAAGTAAGTAAAACCGTTCGGTGCAATATGCGGATAGAAAATGTTGTAAGATATAAATAAAATATTAAGAACACAGAGCATATTGTGGCATGATAAATGCGATAATAAAAATTATGTTTAACAGTTTTCTGAATATGATTTTTAAGATTTAATATGGGATATAGCCAAATACTTTTAGGTAAATTATTATTGCCATCATACAATGAGATCACAAAAACTTTTATTATGTATATACGAGTAGAATTATGAACGCGTGGGTTAGACAATGGTGAATAATTATTACATAAGTTATCATAACAATAAGGTGAATTCTTAATATTATTAGGACTTAATTTTATTAATATCTTGTTCATTACGAATTGAGAATATGGGAGAAATGTCGTTTTGACGAACCAGTATGGTACCATGTTTAATCCAGACAAATTTGTAATTGTTTTTTTCTGGTCACTTCACGACTGAGTAGAAATAATTTCTTATTTTTGGGTCTCAGGTGTTCATTGATGTAAATATTTCGTGAGGTACCTGATATCAGAAGTTGATCTGATTTGACGCATTTTACTACCCGCGCAGCAGCAATCACGTTATCCCGTATTATTTTGGTGGAGAATTTCACGATGATATTTTTCGGATGGGGATTTTTTTATCCATATGCGGTACTCTGTGCACTGATACTATGTCGGCAGGATTAATAGGGTGCTTAATAATTGAGCCAATGTTTTGAAGTACAGCTATCAAATTTTCATCACGACGTTCTGGGAGATTGACAATTTCTATATTAGACTGCCTGACCTGTTGCTCCATCATGTCTATTTTAGATTCCAGCATTGATAACTAAGTGGGGACTTCTTTACGCCGCAGAAAATCCTCTTCCATCGTTTTTAAACGAGCGTCAAAAGCATCTTGCCTATTACTCATATAGTTTACCGAATCATGCATATCGTTTAACCGAAGATTAAATTGGTTCAGGGTATCATTAATGGATGTTGTTAATTTGCAAATTTCTCTCTCAAGTACCAGATTTACGGCATTTTTAACAGAGTCTGTGACTACCGCCTCAATGCTAACTTTAAAAGCTTCCATTTTGTCAGCTATTTTCAACTCTAACGTATCCATAATTGAGTTCATCTCGTCGGGTTCAGGTTGTTTCCGTTTACGCATATTAACAAAGATATTATTATCAGTTGAAGTTGAAGCGGTTGACAAGTCCGGATTAGATGAACACAACTTAAATTGATTCGGGGGAGTTCGCTGCATATTCGCCATCATATAGTCGTCCTTTTCAAATCAAGCTACGAATATGTTGAGCGATCCTTTTTGTTATATGACACTTAGTCACGACGCAAGTGAGACAGTCAAACACGATTTAAACCACTTGGTGCACTAGTCACACAAAATTGTTACTTATGGATATTGCAATAGTTTCGAAATTCAAACGTTAAAAATATTGCAAATAATGGAACAGCGAAGTACACAACTGCTTGTAACAAGCTTCACAGACGGAATGAAATGATATGAATGACAAGATCGTGGAAACTGTCCATGCGGTCGGAGCTAATTTCTGCAAGACCGGCCGCAGGACAACACAAAAGCTCTCCGATCACACTTTTAATCTCATGGCTGTTAGACGGGAGATGAGGCTGCAATCGTCAACATATTTGACAGCATACAGGCAACTGAACAGACAGATCTCCAAATACATGCGGCGAGACTTACGCAAATTTAATACTGCTCGTATTGAGCGGAACCAGGGCTCCAAAGTCTTTGCCAGAGATCTGTCTGCCAGTAAGAGCCAACTATCAAAGCTAAAGACTGAGTGTGGCAGCATCGTTTCCGGGACGCCTGAGATTCTGAGTGAGATTGAGAGGTTCTATGGGCAGCTGTACACATCATCGTTGGAGCAACGCAACGCAAGTGTGAGTAACGATCCAAGAGCGGGTCTTATCCGACACTATTCCGATGATATCCCGGACGTCAGTCTGAGCGAGATTAGAATGGCTCTCCAGCAGGGATGGAATTACAGCGGAGCTTCTGAAAGCGGGTGGAAAACCGGTACTTGAAGTCCTTCAGAGGCTCTTTAATTCCTTCCTCCATGGTGGCACTACTCCGGAGGCGTGGAGCAGAAGTGCGGTGGTCTTGTTCTTTAAGAAAGGCGACAACGCTCTCTTGAAGAACTACAGACCGATATCCCTTCTGAGCCGCGTCTACGTGCTGTTTTCGAGAGTCATTACGAATCATCTCGCACGCAGACTCGACGACTTCCAGCCTCCCGAACAAGCCGGTTTCCGAAAAGGCTTCAGTACCATAGACCACATACATACCCTGCGGCAAATTGTACAGAAGTCCGAAGAGTACAATCTGCCACTTTGCCTGGCGTATGTAGACTATGAGAAAGCCTTTGATTCCGTCGAAATTTGAGCGGTGTTACAGTCTCATTAGCAGTGCCAAGTTGACTGTCGGTATATCGAAGTGCTGAAGTGTTTGTACAGTAGGGCTACGATGGCTATCCGAGTACAGAACCAGAGTACGAAACCTATCCAAACGCAGAGAGGTGTAAGACAGGGTGACGTTATTTCCCCGAAACTCTTCACCGCTGCATTGGAAGATGTTTTCAAGCTACTGTACTGGAAAAGATACGGTATTAACATCAATGGCGAGTACATCACTCACCTTCGATTTGCCGACGATATAGTCCTTATGGCAGAATCGACTTGGAAAATGGGGGACTTAAGCACTATGCTCAATGACCTCAATAGTGCCTCCCAACGGATAGGTCTTAAGACGAACATGGAAAAAACAAAGATCATGTTTAATGTCCATGTCACACCTATGCCGGTAGTTGTTGGGAGCACTAAGCCCGAAGTTGTTGACGAGTAAGTTTACCTGGGACAAATAGTCCGGCTAGGTAAGTCCAACTTCGACCGTGAGGTCAATCGACGGATTCATCTCATGATGATGTTGATATGTAACAATCTATCTATGTAAGGGAATCTCTTAATGTAATTTTCACCTATTTGTAGACGGCCGATTGACTTGAAAATTTGCACTCGTATAAAGTACCTATGAAAATACAGTAATTTAAAAACGTCATTAGTTCTAGTATCCTGATCAGGGTCACCAGGTAACTCTACCTAAAATCATCACAGTTTATGATCAACGCGTGTGGCGGCGCTCTCGTAGCGCCGCAAGCGAAACACACTGAAGCCTAAATCACGCAATCAAAAGTCTGAATCATAAACAGTATATATGGAGATGTTCTCTCCGAACTATCACACGGATTGTCGGCCGCTCCTCGGGAAGAACACCTTGCCCGGCGGGAGACCTCCCCTTTTCCTTCTACGGCCACAACGCGCGTTTTTTTAATTTTCTGAAATATTAATATCATTTAGCCTAAACCCTCCAGCCCTCCATAGACAAACATAAAAGATGTGTTTATGTCACCTTTTTCTCAAGTTTAAATCCGTTTATTAACACAGGAACCGGTTTCATTTTCATCAGAAAAGTTTAATGAAAAGTCTCGCTATCGCAATTTATAATATAATGCTTCCATTTAGTTTTCTGAAGCGTCCGTTTGCTGTAACCTGCTCTTTTATTAGTTCATTGTTACGCTTGTTGCGTCAACAAAATTAGATTCCTCCCGAGGGACAAGTTGGCTTGTCTTTCAGCATTCTTTTTGTGTTTTAATTTTTAAACAGCACAAGGATTAAGGAAGTATGTGTCAGCTTTTTACTTGACTGGCCAGTTACCGAGCCTATCAAAAGTCCAATACTGAACATAGGCGTCGACCATTGATTAACGCCTGACGCCTATTTTTTATAGGATAAGAGTGCTATGGGAATTGGATGTTGCGGAACAAAGATATTTTAATTTATCCTCTATTCAAAATCAAAATGCAGATGCGATGTCACCCCTAAAGACCAAGATGGAATGCCTCGTTTCCAGTTTAAAGAGTCCTTGGTTCTCTACACTCACCATACGTAACACAGCTGCATTAAGCTACTATTTTACGCTGGTATTATGCGCGAGCATAGTCCTACCTCGTTCGTGCCAACCTGTTCGTCCCATAACTAAAATATAGCTGCAGCGCGGTTCTACCACGTGTGAAAAGTAACTGGTATTACTAGCTTGTGTCTCCTAATAGTATTAATAGAATGTATATCGTTATCGTTACCGTCAATGTCTATTAAAATCAACCGCTGAACAAACACCTCTCAAATATTTTTATTTGGCATAGTTGGCACGCTTGGCAAACGATTCTGCAACCGCGTTTTTTTATTTTTAGTCCTTATTAGGAAGACGCTGCTTTCTATCTTTCTCATCTGTTTCCCTGTGTGGCCCTTACGGCGCCCACGGGATTGAAATATCAGTAACAAACCTTTGAGTATTTAATACTCAAATACAAACACATCTCTTACTATATGTATGTACATTACGCTTTTATTAAGGGGTATTTATAAGTGGCAATCGAAATTACAGTAGACTTTCAAATTAACTATATAAGTAGTATATTTGTAGAACGTATGAGTCGGTTTGACAGTGTAAGGTCGGTGTAGTTATATTATTAGTGTAGCACGAATGGGTCGCGGCTCAACCGGAGAAGGACCAAAAAAAATTGCAGCTTAATGCTGCTGTGTTTCGTATGGTGAGAGTAGAGAACCGGAGATACCTTTTAATGGAAATGAGGCACACAATCTTAGTCCTCACGGGTGACAGCGCATCTGTATTTTGATTCGTAGTCGAGGATACATGTAGGTGTCTATGGGCCACAGTAACCACTTACCATCAGATGAACTGTGTGTTCGTTTGTCACTATATCATATAAAAAAAGATATCCAGTTTAATATAGCAGCTCAACGCTTCTATTTTTCGTATAGTGAGTGTAAAAAACGGGATACTCTTTTTAATGGAAACGAGGGACGTATATAGACTGTGAATATAAAATTTAACTTTTTTCCTATTAATAAAGATATTTTTATAGTTAAATTATTTCTTTAATCGTGCTCAAAATTCATAGACCGTAAGTATTTTTATGCTCATTAGGAGTGGCAGGCTCGTACCGGCAGGGCAAGGGAATGACGTCCCCCCACTAGACCGAGTGATGACCTAGTAAGACATGCAAGAAATCAATAGATACGGATGGCTCACGACCGGCTTTGTGGCATTCCTTGGGCGAGGCCTATGTTCAGCGGTGGACTTGTAAAGGGCTGTATATGCCTGTGTGTCAAATATGATGTAATGGCGGGAGGCGTCTGGGATATAATTACAAACTGCAGACTTTCCGGAACATTAGTGTTTCACGTCAACTATATATTTTTTAAAGCGGGTTCAAATTGATCTTTTTGTTTGCCTTATATATGAGGAACCAAATTCACAATCAAGCTTGACCAAACTACACTCCTGCATCTTGTAGAGGGATATTGCATTTGACGGATGGTAATAACTTACTAATCTTCTTCGGCGGCTTGTAGAATGTTCTAATAGAAGCTCGCTTTAAGATGTAGCCAATTTTGTCTGTAACACCTCTGATATGTGTTATGCAGGCACATGCTCGACCATCGTCGACTTCTCTCTCTCGGTCACTGTTGCGTTCCAAATCTAACACTGACATAGTCAATCACCTCAGTTTGCCGTGACCATGAATGCTAAAAAGCACCCAAAACGTTGAAAAATATGTAAAAGAAGCTTTTTTAATATTTAATATCCCCGTAAACATAAAAAATAAATAAGTGAATGTGCTTATTTTCCGTTATATTTATTGATATTTTTTTTCATTGTTGGCTTTTCTAATTGTTAAATTTAAATTGCATTTCTATTCTAAGAGCGCTTGAGCTAAAGGGATTCTAAAATGAATTTTACTCCAAAGAAACGTAGAATGTTATACATTATATATAAGTTCGATTAAAAGTATTTAGTCTCTTTGTTCAGTGTATAATTTTCTGACTGCCTCGTTGGCTTGGTTGGTAATTGAGTTTTCCTGTCAAAAAGTTCAAAGTAGTAAGTATGTAGTCAGGAAATTGGCGGTGTTTGACCACCGGACATCGGAATGCACGTAAACGGTAGTCCTGCGCCAAACGTCTCTCATGTCGTGTCAGGTTACTGCTTCTTCAGACTGTGAGAGTAAGCGGATATAGAGTACACCTGTGCTTGTGCACACACTTTCT